GAGGAGATGTCTTCCCCAGCAAGAGGACAGAGGGTGGGGAAGGGACGTGGTAGGAAGAGGAGAGGAAGGAAGCCTTGCTTTAGCTCCCCAGCTACACGGAGATGCTATGACAGCCCAGAATGTCCACTGCATGGAGATGGCACTGATTAGGTAGGAAGCCCATCGACAGGCCTTCTGCAGCTTAAACCAGAAGAACCCCGCAAGGGCCAGTCGCCCCGCTGCCTCCCATCCTGGCCAGGTCCCTGAGATTTCTGAGCAGGAGGGAAGTTGCCCGGGGCAGGCTGGGGCGGTACCTGTAGACGTGCTCCTCCTCACCCACTCGGGAGCACGGAGAGCTGACACCGTCCTGAGGGTTAGAGGCACTGGAAGTTTTGGCACTGGAGCCGTACACAGGTGACGGGGACTGAGGCTGCAAGACGGAGAATGTTCAGAGGCTACCCCGAGGGGAGAAGAAAGAACGGGGCCAGGAGCAGCCCAAGTCACCCCCAGGAGGCTCCTGCCCAGAGCTAGTCTCACCAGGGAATTTCCAGTCGGGCCAGGAGACCTGTGATTAACCACTTGGTCACTGCCCCACTCACATGGTGGGTGGGAAGAGCAGTATCTGGTCGGGGCGGGCCGACTTCCCCAATTCCATTCCATCCACTGGCTCTCCAGGCCCCTGCCAGGTAAGCTCCCTCTGCCCCACAGCCTCTTCAGCTTTCCTTGCCCCTGTCCCCACCTCACCTGCTGGTGGATGAATCGAGAGCCGCTGGGCTGCCACTGGTCTAATGGGTCAAGGATCGTGCCATTGAGGGCCTCGCTGGATGGGGGTGGGGGCACGGGGGGTGGCACGGCAATCTCCTGGTATGTGTGGTTTCCAGTTGGGTATGAGTAGGGGGTCTCCTCTGACAAGAACACGGGTCGTTTGGAGATGTGGGAGGTGGTGGACTCCAGGTCCGCCAGCAGGGCGTCTGCAAAGAGAAGGTGCGGGGAGCAGGTGAGAACTGGGATCCTGGGGACTCTCTGGTGGCAGGGCCCTCCCTGCCTGCACCTCAAGAGTTAATGCCTTCCAGCACCTGCCCCACCCATGGGAGAAATGACCAGCCTCGGGACAGGAAGCCACCAGCCCTGACCAGCCTAACCAAGAACTGGCTCCCAAAGCTGACTTCTTCTGCCTGCCTGGGACTGAAGGTGCTCTAGAGGCGGGCTCTGGGGCTGCCCGTGGGATCTCCTACCTCCGGGAGTCAGGCACCTGGCGCTGCGTTCCCTCCTGACAGGGCCGCGCAGCTGCGAGCGAGAAGTGCCTGCCTGGAACTCTGAATCCGCAGGGCAACACGCAGAGAATGGGTGGGAGGGGCCCCACGTCACAGGGAGGGGCCCTGGCAGTGCCAGGCCCTCACTTGATTTCCAAGAGCTTAGGCTTTCTCAGCCCCAGACTAGAAGGGCACTCAGGATGCCCCCTGCCCTCCTGACCAAGTGGAAGCAGAAGCCCAGGCGCCAGGCTCCTCCTGAGGCTCCAGGCTTACGGAGTAAGGTGTGCAGGGAGGTGGGGGCTGGAGTGAGGCTGGTGCAGCGGTCCCCACCCCCTCAGTGAGCAGGGGGCAAGACTGCTCGGTTGGCTGTTTCTGCGGAAGTCTGGCAAACAGCCCGGCCCCAGAGGCTCCAGGGCCCCACTGTTCTGCTTTTAACAGCAGCAAGGGAGCCAAATCAGCCCTCCAGTGCAAGCTTCCATTACCCTGGTACCTGGCAGCCAATAGGGGGGCACTAGGTCTCCCCAGTCCCCAGAAAAGAAGGGTATAGAGGGGCAGGGGTAGGACCTGCTGACTCCCCACCTCCTCCATCCCCTCCTGGGACCCTCAACAGCCCCACAGCCCAGACAGCCTAGGCAGACGGTCCTGTCGCCCTGGGTGCCACACCCTCATTCCTGCCCGATTCACAACTTGCTCGCTGTCAGCTCCCTGGTAACCTGCTGGGTCCACAGAGCTGAGAGCTCCATTCCTAGTCCTTGGGATAATAAACATCTAAAAAGCAATGGCTGTGTTTATTGCCACTTATTAGTACCAGGCACACTGCTAGGCATTCTAGCAGTGTGTACACAGTCTCCATTAATCCCCCTAATACCCCGTGAAGCTGGAATGCTGATTCTCCCTGCATGGATGAGGAAAGTGGGCTTGGAGAGGCAGAGGTGTTCGCGCTGAATAACAAAGGTAGTGAGTGGTACGATTGTCTGACTCCTCGGAAGCCCCAAACCCCAAAAACCCTGGCCTGTAAGAAGCCACTATGACTACTAGATGACACCATACTTAAAGTGTTCAACTTCCTGAATGTTGGAGGCCCAAGCTGTGAGGCTTGCCAGTCTGATCCTTCCTTCTGGCCTTGCTCCCAGTCCCCCAACCTGTATTCAGTGGAGGGAAAAGAGAAGCAAGGCCCTCACCCAGGGCCTCTGTCGATGGGGCCACACCTTCTCCCAGCTGCCTGTCCTGATCTACCCTCAAGGCTGGCCACACCTACCCCAGGCTCCTGGCTCCTGCCCAGACAGACAGAAAGTCTGTTCCAAGGCCCAGGACCCCAGGTCTGGTCTCCTGACCTCCGAAGAAGGTTAAGTCCTACAGCTGCCGCCGCTTCCCACTCCAGGTCCCATGGAGGAGGTCTGGCTTCCTGTCTTTAGCAAACCGGAACTAGAGTTGGTAGGTATCTAGATAACAGCAGAAAAGGAACCAATGTCCAGGCCGATCCCCACGGCCTCTCCAGGGCCACACCTGCTGTCTTGGCTTCTCACAGTGTCCTCATTTCCTCTGGGCCCAATCGGCGATGGGTGGGTCCCTCTTTCTCCACCATGGGCAGGGCCAGCTATAAAACCCCACAGGGCTCCCCAGAATAGGCAGTGACTGCAGCCCCGGTAGGGGGCAGGAGTGGCTGCCATCCTTGAAGGCCCACTGGGGCCGGCAGCTTCACCTGTGTTACCTGCCATCCTCTTCACAATGCCACTAGCATAGATGGCAAAACTGCGGTTCAGAGGCACAGTCACATCCCCACACTGCCAACGCTGACTGAAGTGACAATGCTGGACTCTGAACTCAGGTGTCTTGGGCTCCAAACACCCAACAGAAGACAAACAGGCTTCCTCGTCAAACATTTTGAATCAGGGACTCCACCAAACGCTCGCTCCACACAATGTGATTCTAAGCCTGGGCTTTTGGTTTATGGATTGGATTCTGGTTTATGATGTGAACAGGCTCTTTTGAGCACAGATCCATAGGTTGGTGGAGTGTTGGTGACAGGATGCAGTCCTGGGGCACAGAGACAAAAGATCACTCATTCTGAGGTCGAGCCAGACCTGAGTTCAAACGCCAGCTCTCCTCTTTACTATCCATGCCACACGGCAAATCACTTAGCTTTTCAGGGCCTGTTTTCTCAGTAAGCTCTTGAATAATTCTGACCTCAGAGAACTGGTATGAGGTTTATAAGGGCTAACAGAGGGGCTGGGCATGGTGGCTCAGGCCTGTAATCCCAGCACTTTGGGAGGCTGAGGCAGGTGGACACGAGGTCATGAGTTCAAGATCAGCCTGGCTAATATGGTGAAACCCCATCTCTACTAAAAATACAAAAATTAGCCAGGCGTGGTGGCACATGCCTGTAGTCCCAGCTACTCCAGAGTCTGAGGCAGAAAAATTGCTTGAACCCGGGAGGTGGAGGTTGCAGTGAGCCAAGACTGTGTCACTGCCCTCCAGCCTGGGCAACAGAGCAAGACTCCATCTCAACAAAACAAAACTGTTACAAGTACATTGAAAGCTGTAAACATCAGGCCCTCCAGACCCACGAGACCCTGAAGGAGGAAGCTCTGTAGCCCATTGGAAGCTACAGACAGCAGATTTTATTTGCTTTGTAAAATCCAGAAAACGTCTTCCTCCAGGTAGAGCAGTGTAGGTAGGATGCAAAGTACTGATATCTCCTAAGTCTTCTATGTCTTTTCTGGGTAGAATCTGGGCAAAATATGAAAAGAACAACCTTGAGAAAAGTAATAAAATAACATTCAAAGTGTAGCTGGCCGGGCGTAGTGGCTCACATCAGCAATCCCAGCACTTTGGGAGACTGGGGCGGGCAGATCACCTGAGGTCAGGAGTTAAAGACCAGCCTGACCAACATGGAGAAACCCTGTCTTTACTAAAAATACAAAAATTAGGGCCAGGCGCGGTGGCTCATGCCTATAATCCCAGCACTATGAGAGGCCAAGGTGGGTGGATCACAAGGTCAAGAGTTGGAGACCAGCCTGACCAACATAGTGAAACCCTATCTCTACTAAAAATACAAAAATCAGCCAGGTGTGGTGGCGCATGCCTGTAATCCCAGTTACTCAGGAGGCTGAGGCAGGAGGATTGCTTGAAACCCGGGAGGCGGAGGTTGCATTGAGCCGAGATTACGCCACTGCATTCCAGCCTGGGTGACAGAGCAAGACTCTGTTTCAAAACAAAAACACAAAATTAGTCAGGCATGGTGGTGGGTGCCTGTAATCCCAGCTACTTGGGAGGCTGAGGCAGGAGGATTGCTTGAACCCAAGAGGCAGAGGTTGTAGTGAGCCAAGATTGTGCCATTGCACTCCAGCCTGGGTGACAGAATGAGACTCTGTCTTTAAAAAAAAAAAAAAAAAAAAAATTAAAAATTAGCTGGGTGTGGTGGCACATGTCTATAGTCCCAGCTACTCAGGAGGTTGAGGTGGGAGGATCACTTGAGAGCAGGAGTTGAAGATCAGCTTGGGCAACATAGTGAGATCCCATCTCTAAAAAAAAATATGTAAAAATTAGCTGGGTGTGGTGATACGTGCCTGTAGTCTCAGTTAGGAGGCTGAGGCAGGAGGATCGCTTGAGCCCAGGAGGTCAAGGCTACAGTGAACTACAATTGCACCACTGCACTCCAGCCAGGGTGACAAAGTGAGACCCTGTCTTAAAAAAAGATACAGAGTGTAGATGTCAGGGAGAAGGCACATCATGATTCAGTTTTCTCCAAAGTTTTATCTATTTAAGGGACAGAGAAAAACCCCAGCAAGTCCATCCACCAGCCACAGGGTCTCTGGTATGGCTTCCTCCTCCCTCTCTACCCTTCATCCTTACCAGGCAAGGACTAGGCAAGAGGGGTAAGAGATAGTGTCTCCAAATCCCCCACAAACACCTCCAAGAAAGAGAACCAGAAATATAGAAAGCGAGTCAAGAGTAGACTCCTAGCTTTACTTTTATTTCCAATGGGTGCAGATACCTGAGACTTCCCCATTCGCTGCAAATGGTTAAGGGCCAAAGTCCCCTAGCAAGCTCAGCAAACGCCCCCGATGGCGTGAGCAAACAGCCGGCAGGCACTGCACACAGGCGTCCACTTGAAGGCGCGGCCCCATCCCAGCGGGTTCCTCCAGTGTCTAGCTCCAGCCTTTCTCCTCCGCTGTAAATATTCCTTCTACTCATACCCCAAGGAAGGTGTCAGGCTACCCACTCTTCAGAGAAAATGGTACTCACTGAAACCATTCGAGACCAGGAATACACCCTCCCTTCCCACATGCTGGGAGGACAGGTTCCAGACACTCTGCTTGGAAGGAGTCGGGAGCCATCATTCAAGCTAAGGAAGGCCTCAACTTCCTGGAACTACTCTACTAAGTTTCCAGGTCCAGGACTGAGTCCCTCCAAACCCAAGCCACCTGCAGGAGGAAGCTCTCTCTGGGGCTTCCCATCCACTTTTTTGGAGGAAACCCACCCTGAATTCTGCAGGTTTTCTGTCTCTCTGGGCCAGCGAAAGTATGCAACATGAGGAGGTAGGGCAGGCTGTCCCGAGCCTGGGGGCGGGCTAGGTGCAAAGTCCCCAGCAAGCCCTGGGCAAAGGCCACGGAGCAATGTCCTGGCTCAGCCAGGACATTGGCGAGGAAGGAGCGCAGACTGTCTGCCGCTGCCCACCAGAGGGCACCATTGGCCCATCGGCTTCCTGCCACTGG